TCTTTTGATAATGCTAAAGTAGAATGGCAGCCATTTTCTGAGGGCTAGTGGGAGTGTTTTCCTTCCTTTGTTGTTGGTTTTTTTGTTTTCTTGTTGTGTTTTTTTTTTGTTTAATTATTTCTTACAAACAGTTCTCTGGCCATTTTAAGAATGCACCACTACTTCAGGGTTAGAAAATAAGTTTTAGAAGTTATCAACAAATGTCAACATGTAAATCGTACCTGCTGTAGCATCATATACAAAAACTTACTTTTTCTAATAAATTCCTTTTCAGCAATGGAGACAAAACTGATTATTTAACGGTAGACCAATTAGTGAGCTTTCTAAATGAAGTAAGCTTTTTCATACATTAACTCCATAAAGTCTGTGTGCAGTGGCCTGCCTCCTCCAGTGTTCTCATTGCATGCCTGAGTCATACGCCATCATTTGCTTTGCTTCTCATCTGCTGATCTTTCCATTATGGCTTTACCAGGTGCAAGAATCAGCTGCTGCTCTGTGTGTCCATGTGCTTCCTACACGTTGGCTTTGCACACTGCTTTTTGTTGGTTTCTGGCTGTGGTGTGTAGCTGTGGTTCTGTGTGTGTGTGTGTCTGTGAATTTTATAGTGCGTTCATTTAATTAAATGTGTCTGTGTTTTTGCAAGATGATATTCAAGGTACTTGTATTTTTTTCTGTTGATCTCTGAAATAGACAGAGAATGGGTTGAGTTTATGGCACTGTAGTTGAATTCTCCATTGCTAACTTTTTCTCATACCTTTGCATGGACTGGAAAGCTTTATTATTATTATTATTATTATTTTAACCGATTGCATGTAAGAAAAATTTGTAGGTTTAAAAGGAATATTTTGACAATAAGCAAAACACTTTGAATTCCTGGGTGAAAGTTTAGTATATATTAAGCCAATTGGATTGCAGGTTAAATTTTTACTTTTTATTTTTATAACAACCTCAGAGCTAATTTTAGAATATGATTCACTTAACAACCGAAATGGGTTGACAAAATCCACCTAGGCACAAGAGAAAATATTTTAGAACTAGGCTGCAACTTTTGTTACAACTAACATTAACGTCTTTTTTCTTTACACATACAAAAACATATTTCCTCTTCAGTGAAACCCATTGAAGCTCTTGTTGACCCAGAAAGAAAAATTCATTTTTTTAAATATATTATTAGAAGAGTTGAAGTGAAGGATGGACAATATATTTTTGTTTAAAAAAAATTTATTTAACCATCACATTGCATACAGAGGAAACATTACAAAAGAGCATCATGGTAGACAAAAGGGATGCCTCAAGGAAAGACAACAGGCAGACTATGGTTTGCCGTTTTGTAGAGACAAATCACGTATTTACCAAAGGTCTTCCCTGTTCTTTTCCTGGAAGGGCTTGGGAGCTCCCAACGTGTAGGATTGCACTTTAAAAGCTATGTTCACTAGAGCCTAAACACCCTGAATGCAAGGAAGAGAAGGTACCCCTATGTCTGGACAGATGCCTCCACTTTTAAATAATCCTTTCAGTACAATACAGTATTTGTCTTACTTGAAATCATTTCAAGTTTTTCTGCTCTGCTAGTTTCTAGTCATGCGAATACTATGTTCATAATCTTTACCCAGATATTATCCACATTCTTATGTCACTGTTGCTCAGAAGTTAAATTGCCTTGCTTTGTTTCCTTAACCCCTTCCCCCTCCTCTGCTTTTTTTTTTTTTTTTTAAATCGTTTTCTTTCCCTCAGCTTCTTCATGCGCTTGGGATCATTGATCATCTTAATTTTGGTGAGATGGACAGGAATCCTGCTTCCTACTAAAACAGAGGACAGTTTAGTGAAGAGGAGAAAATTCTACCACATCATGAGTTTGTCAATTCCTAAAAAAAATAAAAGGCCCCTGTGTGCTCTGGGATGAAGCTGGCACCCAGCCCTCTATTGAACATTACAGAGGCCTTAATACTGCGTTTCACTGCTCAGATAAAGAACCAATTCAGAAGTCATGGGGATAGGTGCTGCCTTCATGGCCTCTTATCTCAAGTCTTTCCCTTTGCAGGTAGTTTTTGTTGGCCTACCCAATAATCACTCTTAAATTCTTGTTAGTCTAAAACATAAAATTTTATTAAAAAAAAAAATAGAATAAAAAAATAGAAATTATTTCCTAAAATGCTTATAATTTGGTAAGTTTTTATCCAACACTATTATAGTGTCCTTAGGTGGTGCAGTTAACTCGCTCAACTGCTGACCGAAAGGTTGAAGGTTCAAATTCACCCAGAGGCAACTTGGAAGAAATGCCTGGTGATTTACTTCTGCAAACTCAGCCATTGAAAACCCTACAGAGCACAGTTCTACTCTGACATACTACACGTGAGGTCGCCATGAGCTGGGTTGACCTGAAGGCTACGATATTACAGAGGCAAAGAGTATTCATTTGTTTTTTTTTTTATCTTTCCTTCTATTTGGCATCTCATAAGCTATAAGGAATCACCTTGGATTTTTTGGTGGGACTGATGGAATCAGTGTGATTCTAGATTTCTTCAAGTTACAGAGACTACAAGACAGTCCAAGAAAATGTTATATAGTTCTTATTTTTAATCAAAGTGTCTGTCCTGAGTCTCTTACTTTTTTATCTTAGTGAATGCAACTGGAAAGACTAAACAAAAATATGGATGTCTCCTTGAAGAACCTTTGTCAAACCTAAAGAACCTTCTGCCAGCTCCTTGTACCTTCTCTTTTGAGTCCTACCCTTGCCCTTCTTATCTCTCCAAAATCAAAAGCACCACTTAGGCGGAACGACTTCAAAACCCATAATGAGAGGAGACAAAGAGCGTGTTCAAGAAGGGAACAGGCATTGGAATGTAAGGGCCTGTGAGCCCTGATGGCTTGGTGGTTAAGAGCTCTGCTGCTGACCAAAATTAAGATGATCACCATGGGGTGAACGTCTTGGGTACGTTGTTTCCCCAAATCCCAACTGAGAACTGATGGCCCTCACAGCTGTGAATGTAAGAAGTTACCAGCAGTATTTTCCCTGGGACATCTGCCTCACTGTGCTTGCGTCCGTGTGGAATTCGTCCAGAACCTTATTACTTTGAGTTTACCTGGAAATGACCTTTCTCCTCATTATTTTTTTCATATAAAAACTACAGTTTTGTGGCTAACACACATCTTACCATTTGTTTCCTTGCCTTTGGATTATCCATATTGCACTATGCCACCTTTTTGAAATGTGACTTTTTTTAGGGAAAGCAAAAGATTATCTTGTCTGGTGGAGCAGATGCAAAGGCAAATGCAATTTCACATTATCTGCTCTTAATACTTACCTGCTGTGAATGTAATTCTTAGAATCAGAGATTATGGTACACTCATTTTAGGACTTGGTTTTTGTGGCTGTCGCTTCTGATAGGCAGAGGGAGGGCTCTGAACAGTACCATGCCCTTTGACTAAATTTTAATGGGTTTAATTGGGGGACGTATCAAACATTTAGCCTTATTCTATCCTTGCAGGACTTAGGTGCTTCTTTGAGTGATATGCAAACCTTTGTATGTTAGAGCAGTGCTTCTTAAACTTGAGCGCATCAGAATCACTTAGAAGTCTTATTAAAACAGATTCATGGATTCCACCCCAGAGAATCTGATTCAGTAGGCCTGGGGAAGAACCTGAGAATCTGCATTTCTGAGAAGCTTGCAAGTGGTGCTGCCAGCCCACAGACCACACTTCAAGTAGCACCATGTTAGAATACGCACATATACATATATAAAAAGTACATGAGAATATCTGAATTCCCTAACCTTCTTTCTCTAACCTTATCTCTTCTCTCTGCTTTAGCTAAACCCTTCTTTCTCTCTTTTTAATTCATATGGATTTGCCCCATCATCTCCATGAGCCCAAAATACTTACCAATGAACATATCTTTATATCAAAAAATTCAGTTCAATAAAAAAGAGAAATATAGTGGCCAACCACAGAGATAGTTTCACTGAGGTCTAAAAAGGGCCTCTGTTCTCTCAGATCCATCTTCTTCCTTGAGATTATTTACAGAGACAAGAGGAGGAGTGTGCCTAGAAAAGAGTTTTTTGTTTGTTTGTATATTTGTTTGTTTTTAAAACAGTGCATTCTCACCAGAGGGGTGGAGCTTGTCATTTCCTGGAACATGGGGCTCTAGGGCCGCATGAGGGCATCAGTGTCCTGAACGAGGTGCAGCATGCCTTCACCTGCTTAGCACTCCATGGTCGGCCTTACAATTTCTCTTTCTCCAAATATCCCATAACTTTTGTTCTTCTTTAGTCTCAAGGCCTGTTTCCAATATCTTAAATCAGTTTCTGCTCTGTCATATGCATGGATGTGAGCTGTAATTTTCTAGATTACTACAGAAGCATGCTTCATTGGGATGGATTAAAAAAAGACATTGATTCCATATGAGTCAACACTCCTAACTTGATGGGGTAGGGTAGGGACCAGAAAAAGCTAGATCCACGTATGTTTCAGGAAGTTACACCAAGTGTTCAGTTGGCCAGAGACCTTCATTCTGTATAGCCCAGTTTTCTCACTCCAAGCAAATGGGGAGGGGAAATCCATATGAACTTTTAACAATTGTTTCTTAATGACCTTTTCACCAGGTTTTTCTAAGTCTGTGCATATATATGGGTAAAGAGCTGTTGCCAAAGTCCTATTTATTGACCAGATTTTGCTTGCATCTGCTTATCTACCATTATTGCACTGAAGTTTGCTTTACTTACTTATTTACTTTTTGGTGGATACCCAGGGACACAGTGCATGATACCGTAACCCTCAGTGGACAATAAAGAATTTAATAGACTCACTGCCTCCAGAAGCACCCACTGCCTCCAGAGACACCCACAAACATACACATGTACAAGAAGGTAGCTTAGTCAGCTAGTAAACTGGACTTCCCACCATGGCTTTGAAGTCAGGATGGCAAAACTGCAGGCACAGCCTTGCTCTTGAAGCCTTCTGTAGTAGCAAGAGCACCTAGTAGATGATTTGAAAAGGATGACATCACCAGCCTCTTGAGTGCCTCACTCGTTCATAGACTCTGGCTAAAGAATTTCTTCAGAGCAAACCAAGTTAGATTTCAGAATAAAAAAAGACACCTCTGAACTATTGATATTGAAACACAGATTTTTATATTGTTTAAAGGTTGTAAATATCTTTACGCTGATTGATTTTTGTCATGATTACTATTTTTTAAAAATATTTACACAAGAAAATAAAGATGAGGACATGCCCAAGAAATCTTTTATCGATACCGAATGATATAATGAAAATGAAATGATGATTGCCTTATCTACTGATTGGGGTTTTTTTTGTTTGTTTTTGGTTTTGTTTT